AGATAAGAGAAGAAATCAAAAAATTTCTGGAAACAAATGAAAATGAACAGACAACTGTCCAAAACCTATGGGACACAGCAAAGGCGGTCCTGAGAGGGAAGTTCATAGCAATACAGGCTTACCTTAAAAAGACAGAAACATTTCAAATAAAAGACCTAACACTACAACTTCAAGAACTGGAGAAACAACAACAAATAAATCCCAGAACAAGTAGAAGGAAGGAAATAGTCAAGATTAGAGCAGAACTGAATGACATAGAGACAAAAAGAACAATTCAGAGGATCAACCAATCCAGAAGCTGGTTCTTTGAAAAGATAAATAAAATTGACAAGCCTTTAAGCAGACTCATCAAGAACAAAAGGGAGAGGACCCGAATTAATAATATCAGAAATGAAAGAGGAGAAATAACAACGGATACCACAGAAATACAAATGATCATCAGAAACTATTATGAACAATTATATGCCAAGAAATTTGAAAATCTTGATGAAATGGACAAATTTTTAGAAAAGTATAATCTTCAAACACTGAAGGAGGAAGAAACAGAAAGCTTGAACAGACCGATAACAGCTGGGGAAATTGAAGCAGTCATCAAGAAACTCCCAGCACACAAAAGCCCAGGGCCAGACGGTTTCCCAGGAGGATTTTACAAAACATTTAAGGAAGAGCTAACCCCTGTCCTTCTCAGATTATTCCAAAAAATCCAAGAGGAGGGAAGACTCTCAGACTCCTTCTATGAGGCCAGCATCACCCTGATCCCAAAACCAGATAAAGACACTACAAAGAAAGAAAACTACAGGCCAATTTCGCTGATGAACATAGATGCTAAAATCCTCAACAAAATATTGGCAAACCGCATCCAGCAATACATTCAAAAGATTATCCGCCACGATCAAGTGGGATTCATCCCAGGGATGCAGGGATGGTTCAATATACGCAAATCAGTAAATGTGATACACCACATAAATAAAGAAAAGACAAAAACCACATGATCATCTCGATAGATGCAGAAAAAGCATTTGATAAGGTACAGCACCCATTTATGATCAAAACACTCAGCAAAATGGGAATAAATGGGGCATTCCTCAACGTAATAAAGGCCATATATGAAAAACCTACAGCTAATATCATACTCAATGGGCAAAAACTGAAAGCTTTCCCACTAAGATCGGGGAACACGACAAGGATGTCCGCTCTCACCGCTTCTTTTCAACATCGTATTGGAAGTCCTAGCCACAGCGGTCAGACAAGAGAAAGAGATAAAAGGCATCCAAATAGGAAAGGAGGAAGTAAAACTATCATTGTTTGCAGATGACATGATAGTGTACATAGAGAACCCTGTAGACTCTACCAAAAAACTCCTCAACCTAATAAGTGAATTTGGCAAAACGGCAGGATACAAAGTCAACATTCAGAAATCAAAGGCGTTTCTGTACACCAGCAATGCAATAGAAGAAGAAGAAATCAGAAAAAAAATACCATTCGATATAGGAAGAAAAAAGATAAAGTACCTAGGGATAAATTTAACCAAAGACACAAAAGACCTGTATGCAGAAAACTATACAACATTGAAAAAAGAAATTAAGGAAGACACAAATAAATGGAAGCATATACCGTGCTCATGGATTGGAAGAATTAATATCCTCAAAATGTCCATACTACCCAAAGCAATTTATAGATTCAACGCAATCCCTATTAAGATACCAATGACGTATTTCACAGAAATAGAACAGACATTTCAAAAATTTATATGGAACCATAAACGACCCCGAATAGCCGCAGCAATGCTGAGAAAGAAACACAAAGTAGGAGGGATCACAATACCGGACATCAAACTCTACTACAAAGCCACCATACTCAAAACAATCTGGTACTGGCACAAGAACAGACCCATAGACCAGTGGAACAGAATAGAAAGCCCAGAAATAAGCCCAGGTCTCTATGGACATCTAATATTCGACAAAGGGGGCAGAAGCATAAAATGGAGCAATAACAGCCTCTTCAACAAATGGTGTTGGGAGAGCTGGACAGCTACATGCAAAAAATTGAAATTGGATCATCAGCTGACACCATACACAAAAATAAACTCAAGATGGATAAAAGACTTAAATGTAAGTCGCAACACCATCAAAGTCCTAGAGGAGAACATTGGCAGGAAACTCTCAGATATCCCACGCAGCAATTTTTTCACTGATATGTCTCCTAAAGCAAGGGACATAAAGGAAAGAATAAACAAGTGGGACCTCATAAAAATAAGAAGCTTCTGCACGGCGAAAGAAAACATCAGCAAAATGAAAAGGGAGCCAACCGTATGGGAAAATATATTTGCTAATGATACATCAGATAGAGGTTTGATCTCCAAGATGTATAAAGAACTCACTCGACTCCACTCCAAGAAGACAAACGATCCAATCAAAAAATGGGCAAAGGACCTGGGCAGATGCTTTTCTAAGGAGGAGATACAGAGGGCCCAGAGGCACTTGAAAGGATGCTCAGCATCACTAGCCATCAGAGAAATGCAGATCAAAACCACCATGAGGTACCACCTCACACTGGTCAGAATGGCCATCATAAACAGATCCACAAACTACAGGTGCTGGCGAGGCTGTGGAGAAAAGGGAACCCTAGTCCACTGTTGGTGGGAATGCAGACCGGTGCAGCCACTACGGAAAGCAGTGTGGAATTTCCTCAGAAAGCTGAAAATGAAACTGCCTTTTGATCCAGTGATTCCCCTGCTGGGACTATACCCTGGGAACACCAAAACGCCAATACAAAAGAACCTATGCTCCCCAATGTTCATAGCAGCACAATTTACAATAGCCAAGTGTTGGAAGCAACCTAAATGCCCATCAGTAGATGATTGGATCAAAAAATTATGGTACATATACACAATGGAATACTACGCAGCAGAAAGAAAAAAAGAACTACTAAACTTCGCGACAGCATGGATGGAACTGGAGAGCATCATGCTAAGTGAAATAAGCCAGGGGGCGAAAGACAAATACCATATGATCTCACCTATAAGCAGAACCTAACCAACAATGCAAAATTGCAAGGAAAATATGACCAGCAACACTGAAAGGAAAAGAAATCAACAGAGACAAGAGGGAAGGGGCGGGGGCAGGGAAAGGGAAGGGAAGGGGAAAGTCAAGGAACATATAGCAAGGACTCATGGACAAAACCAAAGGGGAAGAGCTGAGGGAGGGAAGGAGGGAGGGGGCAAGGGAAAGAGGTCGGGGGGAGGCAGAGACAAATGTATTTAAAAAGTAAATAAATTAAAATAAAAAATAAAAAAAATAAAAAAGTATTTCAAGGCAAAAAAAAAAGATACATACCTATTAAAAGTGGCAGTGAAAACAAAGAAATATATTCTCTGAAATAAAAAATTTATTCACTTTTTAAATAAGTTGTTCTAGGAGTACAAAACAAATAATATATAGATATTGTCCAGCAGGACTCTATCACTTTATTTGATGGTTACACTTACCCAGTTTATCTTATTGAAATGACATGAGTGAAAAATGGCAACTTACTTAAAAATGGGAAATGGTAAAGACTATAGAGTGAAAGATCATTTTAGGGCGAAGAAACACGTATACAATGCAGAGTTTCAAAAGAATCTGATGGCTTGGGAAATGCTGAGCAGTTCAGTATTGCTTGATCCTAAAAAAAGTGTAAGGAACTAGCTCATGAGGATAAAGAAAGGTAGTTTCAAATGTGAAGAGCTTCATACGTTATGGTTTTGAGTTTTCTAATGTAGCATACTGTTTCCTAAATTTTGATTTCAGGTAGTACATGGGGGTTTTTTGAAAAATAAATGTACACATAGTTTCTGTACTTCAGAAAAATTTCTATTATTTTATAGATGTTTTTGATAGTAATATATATTCCCCTATTGAACAGAATGTTTAACTATCTTCTTCAGATAGTGAATGTAAAGAAATTCTAGGTATATAGTTACTCAGTTAAAATGCACTATGAACATATTCATTATGCTGGTTTACAAATAACTGAATTTTGGAAACTTTGGTATAGCTGATAATAAATCAGTAGTCTTTTTTTTTTTTCTTTTTTTTTTTGCAGCCTCGGGCCGCTATTGAGAGGGGGGGTTTTTTTTCTTGGTTCTGCTGGGAGCAATCAGTGCTTTTTTATGCAGGAGAATCACATTGTTTGGCTTGTCTGTCCCTCTTTTCACCTTTCTTTCTTTTGATACAGCTCCAGTAAATATGCAACAATTGTTTGGAATGGGAAGAGTTGAAAGTAATAAATACAGTCACTTAAAACTCTTGCAATAGGGGTGGTTAGAATTGTTTGGTGTCTACACAAATATAGTGAGAGAAGAGAATGGAAAAGAGACTGTTAAAAAAGGATAGAAAACAATAGGATTTATGAACAATAAAATCTATAATTTGAGAGAGAAGATGGATATTTAAGACGTTGGTGAATAACTAAAAGAGAGAAAAGGCAGTTAGAATAAAAGATATTGAGTAGTAGCAGATGCTTGTTATTCATATTCCATAAAAATTTGAGCTAAATTAAAATAGCTGCTACCATTTCCCTTCTACCTACCAACCGTCACTTTGAACCTTTTAGGTATTAGAGAGAGATGGAATATTTTGGAATATTCAGCTGTGTGTTTCTGAGTTTATCTTCATAAGAGTAAGCACCCAATTTGGGGCCAGATTTCAGAGTTTTACACTGTTGGAGGAAGGTGTGAATGCCTCTGTTCCTAAAGGTGAGAGTACAGCCTGAGGGGACAACACTGATTTTTTCAACTGAGATTTCACTTGAAGAAAGAATATTTGTAGACTAAATTTTCCAAGGTCAGTGGGAGTCAGAATATCTAGATATTTAAAGAATAGCATGCATCTATGAAGCTCAGAGTATTTATTATGAATAATTTCCTTTTATCATAAGTACATGTAAAAACTTTCCAGTAAGGAAGAAGACAGGACTCTCATTTATTTGAAAAACAGTATTACAGAGGATTCTTTGAAGAGTTACTTGCTCCAAGAATGGCACTACATGGTGCTAAGCTCAACATCATCATACCCAGGGTCTTGTCTCAGAACCAGTGAGGATCCTTTCTCTTTCACGCTAGTTTTGACAGCTTCACTAGGAGACTGTAGAGAGATGCCTGAAACAGCAAGGAGAATTCTGATATCAGTGGTGACAAAAAGACAAGACAGAGTCCTCTGGTGGAAGGAGATTAGTACAAAGTGGGTACAAAATATGTATTGGGGCCCAGTACTTGTATGAAGGCTAGACAGAGCTACTTTAGACTGATTCAGTGACTCTGTGTACTAGTATCTTGATCTTGACAGTTTGAAAGGAGGTGGACAAACAATGGCAAGGAGTTGAAAAGAGACATGAATGCTCATTTTCACACCAGTGATCTGATTTCCTAAGAAATGGAGGCAGGAGACCACCTCTCTAGAGCACCTCAGATGACCTCTCCTGAACACCTCAGTAACAGACCACACCTGCCTCAAAGTGTTCATGAGAACAGTCTGGGTCCTCTGTCAGATGCTGAAAAGGAGCGGCTCAGTCAAATCCCTCTACAGCCCAGGGACCACATGCTCACATATAAACAGAAAGTCTAGTCCTAGGGAATGGAGGTTTTTGTCAACTGAAACAATGAGAGAAAAGATTATCGTAGTTTCCTTTCAGTGCTGAGATGTTAGGACTCTAGTTTAGGCCACTGCATATTCTGCATTAATAGTGGGCAATGTCAACTTAGAACATTTGGTGACATGGTTCTCCCAAAACTAATTTTTGTAGCTCACAAATTTAATTTACATCAACATTAACAAAACTTTCCAGATTCCTTCTCACAATCTAAAAGATCCCTGAATTTATTTTCAGAACATATATTTCAGCCTGAGGGGTAAAATAGGAACAAAGCCTCTGCAATGAATAGACATGTCAATTGATGGTGGACATGAACCCAGACATTACAGTATGTTGTTTCTCCTCTCAGAAGAGGTAAAATGGTTATAAGATACCCGAGATAGAGAAGAGCTAATCTTATCTAAGTATCCAAGTGAAGAAAAAATGACTATTGGTAGGTCCACCCTCATCTTCTCCATCACAAGAAAGTGAGGTTACTGGAGGCCGGGCTGTCCACTCACCTCTTTGGGGATACCAGACATCACCTCCCTCTTTTGGGAAAAAATAATTCTCACTCATGTAAGGGGGAGAGGGAATTTCAGGAGCAGGTAACTCTTCAACATCATCATAACTGTTTCCTATGGCATTGGCATGTCCTGGAGGCTCTGGAAACAGACAAGGACTTAAGTGAATAACAAAGTATGGTTGGACAAGGTGATGCCCTAAGTCCATTCTAATGCAGAGATTCTAATAGCTAATAAATATAGTTACCCTATTCTGTGACTGTCTCAAAGGTATATATTTGATCTCAATTTTCTTTGACATTACTTAAATCTTCTAAGTATTCTAGTATATCAAGGTCAATAATACTTTTCTAACAGGTTCTTATACCATAAAACATAAACAAATGTTAGTTTGCTATGAGTTTCAGGTACTATTTTCAAGCATATGGTACAGAGTTGTAACATATAATGTACACATATCAGTGACTGAGGGAGGAGGTATTTGGATCAAGAGAACCCAGGCTGTCCATGCACCTTCTGAAGCTGTGGGAGACACAGAGCTGGCAGAAGGAAGCTTGGATCTAGGCCACTCAAAGACAGGAGATCCCATAGGTCCCATGAGAGAAGGTCTGGATTTTAATCCCCACTAGAGCTCAGCTGACCTGAGGATCTAATCCCCAGGAACTCTTCTGGACATGCTTCATCCCAAAAGCTGTTCATTGTTATCATCTGGAGAAGATCTAGGCCGAACATTCTTCTCTTAAGTTCCTTATAAATAATAGCCTCTGGTACTTGATATGTATAGGCACCAAGCACTCCAATGTTTTTCAGGGTTTATTAAAATCATTTTTTTTGTCTCAATATACACATAATCCACTAAATGATCCAAATATTATACTATCTCAGGATCCAACCATACTACCCAATGATCTCTCTTGATACAGAATTGTTCAGATGATCAGTTTCAGATGTTTTAAAAACTGTCCTTTGATTCCATAATAATACATTAGATGCATGTTTGTAACTGTAGAAGTAGCTGTGGATATAGAGAAATCAGTCTGATCTTTCCCTTTCTGTGGCCACAGAGTGGACAGATGAAGCAGAATTGTGAACTGGAGAGAAGAGATCCTTCCTATCCTAATCACAGGAGGAATTCTCCTCAGATGAGATTCTTCTTCTTCATCCCCACCATCCAAGTGAAGGCCAATCATTACTGTATGGAGCAGAGTTAGAGTCTCCATTTCTCTCTTTGTCCCTTGAATAATACAGCAGCTTAGTCACTGAGTCATCAGGCAGGTTACCTGATAGGGAAAAAGCATTACAGCCAAACAGAAAAACTTTTCCTGTAGTATGAAGCCCAATGTCTTTGTTCAGAAAGAAACTTGAGACTTCAGACTTGTAGACAGAGGAGTTACAGCTCGTGGGTTAGGAGCAGGCTGATAGTGTGAGGTCGAGTTAGTGGTTGGGTCTGTGCTTGATGAAGAAAATCCATGGCCAGCTCATGAACAGAAGGGAAAACATGGAATACACCTGAGCTGTCTGGCAGGTCCTCCTTTTCTGGTTTTATGAGGTAATCTGTTACATGACATCATTGGGAGCAACTTCAACAGCAGATAAGGCTGGGGAACGTGACAGGAGTGTAGAGACTGCCCTGCAGATGTTCCCTTTACTAAGAGACAAAGCCTTAGTGCTCTCCACTGATTACCCTTGGAAACATCCCTGTGGGCCACTAGGGCTCTCTTCTTAGCCTTGTGCCCTGTTTGGGTTGGACCTATGTTTCCCAACCCTGATCTTGACCTTACACTGAATTCTACTGTCACTATTCACAAAGCAGGTCATAATTTTTTAAAAGGAAGTCAAAATTCTTCAGTGGTTTTACATTCGACCCAGGTCAAAGGATTCAATTCTTTCATATTTTGAAGTCTGTTGAAGAGAAGGTAGAGTTTTGCCAGATAATGAGATGAAGGTCAATGCTTGTGCACTTTTCTTGTTATCAAAACTGACTGGCTCAATATCCTTCCCACTACTCTCCAGATCATTTGGCATCCCTACGGCCCACCTTGGTGCTCTGCTCTCTATCTGTGTAGCTGAATCATGGTCACCTCTTGAGTCCTCACAACCATGAAATCACCATTCAGATACAGTGGGTCAGCCTGAACCTCAAGATGTGATCAATCTTGATGTGAGAAGGCTCCCTGGTAGCCAACAGGGGAGGCGGGAGGGGCTGATATACCTGCACAGGGGGCAGCAGTGGGACAGCTCCTGGGTTTCATTCCTGCTGAAGCAGAAGATGGGGAAGCACTGGATCAGGGACAGCTGGGCATGGTCTTGCCCCACATCCAGATAATTTAGGGTCCTTGGCTGAGTCCAATGACAAGTGAAAACACAGGCCTCATAACTAATCTAATGGCCTGAGTTACTGAGACATTCACTGGATCCTAGCGTCTATCCCCAGCTGACATTACTTTATCTGTTTACTTGTTCATCACTGTCTACATTCCACAACAAATACAAGTACAAACACAGACACACACACCCCTGAGTGAAAGCTCCCCAGAGGAAGGATCTTGCATATCTTACTCACCTCTGTGTTTCTGCTATCAAGACAGTGCCTGGCACATTGTATACATTCATTTACGAAGCATACATTGAGAACCTTCTCAAATACTATGTATAAGTGCTTGACAAATATTTATTGAAAAAAAATGAAGAGATAAAATCCAGTGACATAAAATTATATTAAATTCTTGCTAATCATGAGACCTTGCTATATGTTCCTTGACTTTCCCTTTCCTTTCCTTTTCCCCCGCACCCCCCGCCCTTCCCTCTTGTCTCTGTTGGTTTCTTTTCCTTTCAGTGTTGCTGGTCTTATTTTCCTTGCATCTTTGTGTTGTTGGTTATTTTCCGCTTATAGGTGAGATCATATGGTATTTGTCTTTCGCCCCCTGGCTTATTTCGCTTAGCATAATGCTCTCGAGTTCCATCCATGCTGTCGCGAAGTTTAGTAGTTCTTTTTTTTTTTCTGCTGTGTAGTATTCCATTGTGTACAAAGGGGAAGGATTGAGGGAGGGAGCGGGGGGCGGCAAGGGAAAGTGGTTGGGGGAAGGCAGAGACAAATGTATTTGAAAAAATAAAAAAAAGTGAGGATATACGTGAAATGAATTTAAATATAAAAAAAGAATATTAGAAAATAAATCTTTATACTTTGCTTCCTCAAAAAAAATTTCTTGCTAATCAGTAAGATAATGAAGGAAACATAAACTAATGGTAGTTGGTTGTGATAATAGTGCATATGAAAAATAATTAGTTCATGAGCACAGAATTAATTTATATTCAATATTCTACCTAAATAATTTGTAGTGGAAAATTATAAAATAGGTTTTAAATTACTCCTCTGTTACTTAGTATGACATGTCAACAAGCAAAAATTACAATAGTAAGAGGAAACTCTTACAAAAGTTAATATACAGAATAGAACAAGTAGAAATGAGAGAAAGGTATGTGGCCTATACTGAGCTATTAAGACAGAAATGTCTGCATGAAACTCAAATTTACTAACCAAAAATTATATTGAGAGGATACAGAGATAACAAATAAAAGACTAAAAACACATAAAGGAATGAAACAAAGAAATACATATAAACAAAAAACAACAGAAGAAAACAAAAGTGTACATGACGCTCATAAGATATCAACATTTGTATATCCTTTCTACATCATTCTATTAAACCTCTAGCCTATGCAGAGAACATCTCAGAAAATGATGGCAGGAACTCCCTTTGGGCTGGTTACTCACTTTCAGGGTCAGAGACTTCACTACCTTTCAATTCACGGTGTTTAATGTAGGAAAAAACAAACAAACCAATATTAGGTCTAACATACAAGGGAGGCAACAGTAGGTTTACAGTTGTGAGTATGTGAGTTTATCCTTGTTTTATTAATTAATTATTATAGCATTTATTTGCATTACAACTATAAACCTACACTTTCCCACCCCTATATCTTTGGTTTTCAACAGGGAAAAAGAAAGAGAGGCAAGGAGAGGAATAAGCCTCTGTCTATGAAATATCTATTGCCATATTCTCCCCTGCAGTGAATTTCAGACACCCCCCAGTGTGTTGTTCAATGTATACCTGTATGGGGTGTGTATAGTTGTGTGCATGTGTGAGAAGGGGAGAGAGAGATTGAAAGAAGGTATGATACACTCACCAGTCTATAGAGGTTATGTGCAAATATTTTATTACAAAATTGTTTGTAGATTGGAAAAATTGAAATCAATTGTACTACCAACAAATAAGCAAATAGTTACCTAAACTTTAGTACTAGCCTGTTATGAATGAAATAGTTGCTGTTGTCTTACCAATGAGCTAGATTTACCTGGAGGGATATCCATGATGTATTAAGTGATAGAAGTCAATATAAGAAAAATGTGTATAATATAATTTTAATATTGTAAAAACAAATATCAGTACACAACCAAATAAACCCATTTATGAGTATTCACATTGAACTCTTCCCATCCCAATCCATCCTTACATATTTACTGGAGTGGCATGAAAAGAAAGAGAAAGCTCAGAGGAGAGGGTCAAGCACACCAAACAATGTAATTCTCCTGCTGAAAAAACACTACTGATTTATTATTAGCTATACAAAAGTTTCTGATATTTAGTTATTTGCATACCAGCATAATGAATATTTCCACACCAGCATTGTAATTGTATAACTATATAACCAAGATTTTCTTTACATTTATTGTCTTTAAAAGATAAACATTTTGTTCAAAAGTAGAATATACCAAGTCTGCCTGGAAAAAGTCCAACCACTGTTAATATAATGAGAACAGTTCGTGTGACATTACTGTAACCTTGCAGCCAAGGAGAGTGGACTAGAATGTACATGTGTGAATAATGACTACTTCACTGTACTGATCTGTGGGAGTTAGTGCACAATTGAATGAGCATATATACTGTGTGGTGTCCCACTCAAAATGACTGAGAGTAGAACAACGAATCTGAGTCAAATTTTGCATTAAGCTTGAATATTCCTCCATGGAAACTATTTAAATGATTCAGAAGGCTGCAGCTATTGGTGACTGGTGATTGGCAGCTTCATCATGAAAATGCATCCACTCATGCCTCACAGTATCGTGCAGTTTTTTGGTG